GAATCTGAGGCTCAAACGGGAACTTGTGACGCTTGGGGTTAGGACGAGCTAGGGTTGGGAGTTTGGGGATGAGCTAGGGTTCAGGGGTAAAAAGACGCTATCACGACAAGGAGTCTGAGGGAATCAGGCATATCATTTGGTGATGACTGAGAGACCAGGTTCATGATCTGCACTGGAAGCTTGCTAGTTGATAACTCTATCGAAATTGAGTAGAAAGCCTCTGTTTGATGGCCACATCCCGACATTTCAGCTCAATATCAAAGTCTTGATCAAGAGACTTGGCGCTACCTGTCAAGATGGGACTAAAGGGGGCTAATCAAGGCACCACCGTTTGCCGGGGCTTGGCAGTAGTTACCGAGACGAGATATGTTGTGATAGAATCAAGGAAGTTTTAGTAAGCGCTCAACAGACAATGTGCTTCTGCAATATAATCACAAGAGAGTCGACGGAGCGGCCATCTTGGCGGCCGAAATGCAAGACTAGCAAACCATCACAAAACGGTCTCTCCCGCTGTGGTCTTATACCTCACAAAAAAGAGGCCATTCTCGAGAGCGAATTACCATGGCGAAAAACATGGCGAAAATGCCTAGAATTCTCCATCAATAGCGAGACGCAACTGAAGCACCCCTTGTTCATCCAAGGTTTCGGGAGGGGGGCCCGGCCTCGCTACTTTGAGTGAATTGACCGAAGTGCCAAGAGCCATTCAAGAGGTCTCATTTGATTGCACTACCGGAAGCTAATAGACGTCAAGTTTCGCATTGACGGCTTTTAATTAATTGATCAATTTACTTACAGAATAAGGCTGAGTCTTGGGATTTGCGTACCAATTATAAAATATGGATGAGTGCCGTTGAAAGAAACTCTTTTACTTTTGTTAGTGCTCATCAAACTTACAGCGATTATATACAGGGATGATAGATGGGGAAAGGTTAAAGGCAATGCCGTTACAAATATACCGTTACAATTTTAACAAGGGATTGTGCCATTGGACTTCTAAATAGGCAAAGTGAATTATCATGACCTTATCAATACCTTAGAAGCAATAATAAGCATATTAACGCAGGTTCATCATCCACATACCGTATTCCCTCGGCTGTTTCCCATTCCCACAACACGGTCTCAGAGACAACTTGTGACATTTGATAAGGATGTCAAGATAACCAAGGCATTGAGTCCAAAGAACTACTACCAAGTATATACTAAAAGTTGCCAAAGTCTATCCCTAACTAACCTACGTCTTTTAATACTCGCGATAGAGATTCTTGGTTTTCTTATCTCCCATAGAACAACTCTCAACACTAAGCAAAATCCTCAAAAACACAACCCATCAATTCATATTCTGGATATGCTACTCGTTTATTGCGCCTATTCCCATGATATCACATCCCAATGCTCTCACCAAGTGACATGTTTCAACTCCAAACCCACAATCTGCCTATCAACACCCACCAACGCCATCGTTCATCTCATAATACTCATCCACTCATGTTATCGTCGCCATTCACCCCAGCAGAGCTCGAGGCCCTTTCGCTAACAGGCATGTTACAGCCCGAGCTTCCGACGAGATCCCCAGGCTGATCCAGCTCCTCCTGGGTTGATCCATAATCCGTATAGCCGGACTCTTCAGAATGCGTTTCAGATCCTTCGGGAATAGGAACCATGGCTGTCTTGGTCCAGATGTGAATCGCTCGCTTCCAGTCCAGGCCATCAAGACATCCTCCTTTCACAGAGATGACGTTTTTTGACTACGTTTGGTCAGTGTGAGATGACTCGTAAGCCCAAGATGCTATTACGTACTGGCGTTGAGTGAATGAGACGAGTTCCGCATTTGCGACAGAAGTAACTGTTTGTAACGCTTAGCGCCCAGTCAAACAAACATGAGGCTTCTAAAACACCTACCAGTAAAGCTGGTGTCCTGAGGCTGTAGGACGACTATAATACCCCAAGCTAGTTAGTCCAGCTCGTAACACCAAACAGTTGTTTCCTACCTGTAAACGCTCAGTAGATCCGTGTCAGGCAGCTCAAACCGAGGAAAGATGGCAGAAGTGCCAAATGCTGAACCCGTTTGTCGTCTGCAAGCATCGCAGTGGCAGATGTAGAGCGCCAGAGGCTGAGGGAGGGGAGTCTTGAAGGTCACTGAACCACATTGACACCTGGCCTCCATGACTGCGAACGAAAGAACGGTTCGACTAAACGCGTGACGACGAGTTTCAATGGTGACGAGATTCGTAGGCAGAGTTTCGATTCTCAGTTCAAAACGCCGTTTCGCAACACACGAAACTCGAGGTGGAGGTTTCGATACTGCGCCGTGTGGAGGCGGGGTTCAGTAATCGCCAATTGGATGTCAACTTGAACAAAAAAGAATGAGGCTTGAAGGGATTCAACTTGATCCAAGCAACATTTATAAAGAAGAAACACAAACGGAGTATTACTAACACAGTAGAACGAAGAGTCTCCCCCCGTTATCGCTCAGAGATAGAACAAAGTTTGACTCCGCGTTTGCAGTGCGACTACAGTACGTGACTCATGCGGCACAGTCTGGCGAGACTCGCGCGAAGTCACATGGGACAAAGACGTCCTAATTATTGTCCCGGGCTTACTACAGCGCCATTTGCTTATCATATGCAGTTATTACTGTTATTCATCGTCACTTTTTTCTTATCTTGTTCATGGATATCCTCGGCATTTAGCCTAGATATGCCTCGAATAGCCTCGGATTTGTTGTTGTGTGCGGTGTGGTAGCAGACTTTGTCCTGGGCGTTACACTCTGCTTTGTGGAACAACGGTCAGATGTTGAAACTTGGCATTGGATTGGGCTATTTCTCATTGGACAAGCGAAGTTGTTTTTTTCTTTTGACGTCTCATTGTTCATCGGAGTATCTGCAGTATCATTTACATGACACAATGGGTATCAACAGTTCACAGGACGGCAGAAACGGCATTTGAAGGTATATCATTCTCAGTATAGCACAAAAACCAATACTATGCAATGCCTAGCTCAATTTCGTATGCTTCAACTCCGTAACACAGTACCATACCAATGCTAATGCTAATGCAGATAACCAATCTTGGCCAGCAAGGACTCCGTAAGGCATAACTCATGATCCATCATTCCCACGAAAACGACTACGCGTGAGATCTCGTAGCCCTCTCCGCTATCAAATTGTTTGCCATAGCCGTCGTGACAGCTCCGACTTCAGTCTCTGGGTTTCTCCACCCAACATCACTCTTGATCCATTCCATCTTCTCCTGCACCTTTTCAGTACACACAACCACAATCCTTCCCAGTCCTGCCTCCCTCAACTCTGTTTGCAGCGTCTCACACCACTCAAGTTTGTCCACATCGCTCATCTCCCTCGCCACAACCTCCATCTCAACCCTCTCCAGTCGTTCCATGAGGGCAAGCCCCTCTCCGACCCATCGCCGTGCTGCTTCGGCCCTACGCCCCACTCCGCCTCCGAACGCTGGGCCCGTCACTACCGATGTACTCGCTCCGAGGACCATCTTCATCCGAAGTCCTCTGACTCCGGATGCCCATTCAGAGCACAAGGCGCGCCATTCCTCGCGGCCCGCGCCTCCGACCACTACGTCTCGTGCAAGTACCTCCAACCGAACATAGCGAAGAGAACCTCGCTGCCATGGAGCTAGGGCTCGAGTGAAGGCACGGGCGGCCCAGAGGCCTGAGGCGAACCAGTTTACAAAGACAAACTCGTTCTGCGTGAATGGTAGAAGGCGTGCTTCGCCGTAAATCTGGCGATTCGTGAGAAGGAGGCTCGTAGGAAGACCAGAGAGGGGACGGTATGGCGACAGCAGCCCCAAGTCTTTTGACTCGTCGCGGTTCGTTTTATCCTCTTTAGTTGCAGTGTCTGTATCAACTGTCTGGAGAATGTATTGGCAATGCACTGGGGTTGGATACCATGGTGCAAGCTGTGCGTGGCGAACTGGACACATAAGGTGAAGCCAGTGGTAAATATTAAGTCGGATTTCGAGAGGCAATGACAGGAAAGTGACTTTATTGTCAACGTTCTCGGTCGCAAAACGTGGCATCGAGCGTGGTATGGCTTCATTAATCGGCACGATTTCCATGTGCGGCTTAGATGCTTCTGAGACACGGGGATATGTATCAGGAGGCATGCCAGCGCCGTGGCAACACAATTGATAAGAATCCATCATCACGAGGCGTGAATTGCGTGGAGGTAGTAGCTCAGAGAATGATGAGGAGGAGATAGTGTTGAGTCGAGCTTCTCCTCACAGCTGTATAAGTAGGTAGCCCGCCCATCATGCCTCCAATATTCGGTAGTGCCAGAAAGCACAACGCGCAGATAAGGTTATCAATTGTGCCGATAATTTTCTCAATGCCACAGTCTCGTGAGCTCAAACCATGTGCTGTCAAAACGCGGGGAATGGGTAGCTTTGACGCTGAGGACGTTTGGGTGACGACATGGCTGAGCATGGCGACGAATGATTGATGCAGATGCACGCGCAAGTCGGCTGTGGCCGACTTCAGGTCAGCTTACTGGACAACCTGGGCTTGGCGCGATGAAGCTCTAGCTCGAAGCTAATATCTATATAGAACTGAGGATGAAGTTTGGAATGAGGTCAGCTTAGAATACCAATTGGTTTTCAATGTCACCAACTCAAGCTGAGATGTCCCGTTCTCAGTCTGGTCATGAAGCAAAGCGACGAGATGTTCATACAGCGCATTGTGGAGAAGCGTCGCAATAAGACTGTATAGACTGTATAATGCACTGCTTTCAGACTGTATAAATAGTCGAAGCGATACATTAGAACTCGGGAGCCCGTCTGTGATCGCCGACTAGATACTGCTATCTTAACGCATCAGACCTAAACAGCCGTCAGCTTATCTCACTAACTACTAACTGGGTATATCAACACCAAAGCACTCACTCGCAATCCCTCAAAACGCCATTGAGCTCAAATAGTTTCCCAACCTGATGGCAGAATGCCACAACACCTGAATCCGACCACAGATCGCTTGCTCATGAAGGAACAAAACCTTGCTGGGGTTGTTGCTGCTGTTGGTCACTGGGTGGTATGTTGACACCTTGGAGTCCCTTGTAGACATCCACTTTGCGCTCATACTCAACGTTGCGTGGCACCTCAAAGTCCCCCCGTGCCGCAAACCAAAGCAATGTCTCTGGTTCCGCTCCTCGCACCTTGACTTCCGGGACATCTGGCTTCTCTGGCTCATCATCATCTTCCTCTTCGTCACCTTCCTCCTCGTCCTCTTCTTCTTCATCGTCATCTATAGGCCTTCGTAAACCGGTACGTACGTTTTTTACTCCATTTGCACGTTCTTCCGCCGTATAGGGATCGCTATTCTCGGTCGATATGAAATGAATTACCCGGTCCGAGAGCCAGCTTCGCAATTCGCGCCAGATTTGTTCTAGAGATTCCAGACCCTCTGGTGTAGCGAGTCGTGCAGTTTCAAGACCTTGACTGACGAATTCTTCGACGTCGGGTTCGAGTTTCTTGCGTAGGAGTTGGAGAAGCACGTTCTCTTGAGTTCGGCCGGGATAGTTCGTCGAGGGTCGGATGGCCATGCGATTGAAGAGGTCTGCATTTTCGTTCGTGCTCTCTAGAAGCGACTTAAGGTTCTTTTGAAGAATTTTGGCAGAAGCTTGAATCGATTTTCTAGGAAGACATATTAGCTACTGTCTCACGATGGCGGATTGCGGTGTAGAGGCATACGGAGGTGGCAGAGGACTGCTCTTAATTAGATCCTGCCTGAAGCTCTGCACGCTGCTAGACAGTTGAGCTACCTTGCTCAGTGTTTGTTCAAGAGCTTTGAGCTCATCGTCATCTAGATTGAGAGTGGCCATAATGCCCTCGCCGGAAGTGGTAGAATGTAGATGATTGTTTTCGCTGGTCGTGAATGGCTTACAGCTGGTAACTGATGCTGCAAAAATATGCGATACGGATAGCCAATACTCCTCCGAAGATATCAAGGTCCTGATGCTTGGTAATTAGAGTATTGGATGCTTTGTAAAAGAAATTCGGGTTTGAGGCGGGGCATTTCAAAGCTTCCAGAACAAAGCGTGTCCGTCACCGCGTGCACACCGAGCTCGGTGTAGCGGAGCTTCCCCAAAGCTCAGCTCAAATATCAAGCCTGGCAGTTCAGGCACAAAAGCCTCCCCTTATATCACCACCCTACTCCGTACGGAACTTTTTTTAACACAACACCTAGACCCTGAAACAAGCGGAGATCTCTCCACTCACCCCAGATTCTGGTAATTTCATCAACGTCATGGACCATCTTGCGACATCAGCGCCAAAATCACACAATCTGCGCTTATATGACAAGCTCCGTGGATGCCGCCGTAAGGCCGTCGATCTCACAGGGCGATCGGCCGCATCGGGCCCGGAAACCGACACTCCGCCGTTTCGGAGGATGACATTTGTGATATTATTGGAATTGTGAATGATTTGGGTGTCCAAGTCATTGGCCGGATGTTTCTCGCAGCTCATGTGAATCTGATAATACGAAATGATACTGATTGATAATCGTCATAAACAGCTACTAGTTTGATATCAGCTCGACGTTACTGAAAGTCTCTAAGCTACAAGATTAGATTGACTGGCAGTCAGGGAGACCGAAAGGTACACCAAAGGTTCTTGGGCTCATAATAGAGTTATTCAATCAATTTATGGCTTTTAAGCAATTTAAATACAAGAAATCATAGCTGGCTATGCTTGATGCGAAAAATAGAGGTCATAAATCCAACATCTTCAATGCTGCAATAACATCAAGAATAACCGCTAAAGTGAAAAACGCCGAACGGAAAAGATACCTTGGTCATAGCTCATTAGTTTTTGGGGTGTGAACTTTAACTGTTGCGAACATGGGATACGGCCTTGCTCTCGTATCCATTGGCATCAACAAATGGATAACGAGCTCGGCGTTCCAGATCATCAAGAGGGATGGTGGAGCGGATGTACCTGCGGCGTATGGCGTTAGCACGTCTTAAACTATGCGATGATGTGATTTCGTGGCTTTCCGGGGCATCGATCACTTGTGGGGAGGGTTTGGATTATCCACTTACTTCTTCCTGCCATCATCATCGGGGTTGAAGTCCCAGCTAGTGAACTCGCCCTCCTTGAGGGCGTCCCACACAACTCGTCGTGTGCGTTGAGATAGAAGAACCTTCTCGGTGATTTCATCAAAGTCCCAACGGGCATGGGCCTCGGCCTCGAACTTGTGGAAGACTTCCTTGGCTTCCTCCTGCTCGGCTGTCTGTGGCGCAATCTTTCTGAAGCGGGCGAGGTTGTCCAATTCCTTGGGGTCGCGTGCAAGATTGTAAAGTTGAGGCTCGTCGGCTGGGCAGGTGATGTACTTCCAATCGCCTCGTCGGATCATCATCATAGGACGAACAGTACCCTCGCCAGTGTACTCTGCAATAACAGTGTCGTGACCTTCGCGACCTTCGAGATGAGGTAGCATGCTGATTCCATCCATTGGCAAGTAGGGTGATGGCTTAGTGCCGACCAAGTCACAGATAGTTGGCAGAAGATCGAGAGTTGAAACGTTCTGAGTGACGCGGTGGGGAGTGAATCGCTTGGGGTAGTTGATCAACATGGGAACTCGAACAGACGACTCGAAGTAGCTCATCTTGTACCAGAGTCCGCGTTCACCCAGCATGTCGCCGTGGTCGCCGCTGAAGATAACAATGGTGTTCTCGGCCAGGCCCGCATCCTCGAGTGTCTCAAGCAGGCGACCGATGCAGTCGTCAACATAGCTCACTGAGCCGTAGTAAGCTCGTTTGGCGCGCTTGATCTGCTCCTCTGAAAAGTCCTGGTCCCAAAGATCGCAGACCTTGAGAAGACGTTGGCTGTGGGCATCAAGATCTTCCTTGTTCATCTTCACCTCAGGTAGGGCGATGTCAACATCCTCATACAGGTTCCAGTACTTCTTGGTGATGGTGTAAGGGTCGTGTGGGTGAGTAAGCGAAACAGTCAATGCGAAAGGTCGCTTCTTGGGTCCCTCCCGAACGTGATCCCAAAGGTACTGGGTGCTCTTGAACATGACCTCCTCATCGTAGTCGAGCTGGTTGCTTCGGCCACAGGGACCGGCTTGGAGAATGGAGCTGGCGTTGTGGTACCACTCAAGGCGGGTGTCAGGCTCATCCCAGTTCACAGCCCAACCAAAGTCACCAGGATAGATATCACTAGTAAGTCGCTGTTCGTAACCGTGGAGTTGGTCACCGATAAAGTGCATCTTGCCAGCAAGAGCAGTGTGGTAACCCTTGGAACGGAGGTAGTGGGCATAAGTTGGCACATCAGAGCCAATCTGGGCAGCATTGTCGTAAGCCCCAATCTTCATGGGCAGTTGGCCACTGATCAAACTCATGCGCGAGGGGGCGCACAGTGGTGAGGGGCAGTAAGCAGAGTCGAACTGGACAGCAGTTGAAGCAAGACGGTCGAGGTTTGGTGTCTTGATCTGAGAGTTGGGGTTGTACATCTTGAGTTGAGGAGCAGCCAGTTGATCGGCCATGATAAAGAGGATGTTGGGTGTCTCAGACTCTGAAGAGAGCTGAGGAGCAGCCATGCTCTCTCCGTTAGACGGAGGGAGGGAGTTGAGATCAGGAGCCATTGTTACTTGACTTGATTAGAGGATGGTAGAATACGGTGTCTTGGTGGGAGTCTCAGAAGATAGCTTGATGCTTTCAAGCACTGGAGATGCGTATCTAGGGACGTGTGCTTGAAGAAAAGAAATATTGAAGGGAGAGAGTTTGGTGAAGAAGACTCGAAAGGTAAAAAGTGAGTGCGGGTGACTAGGTAGTTAAATAGATACAGAGATATGCAGGATGTAGGTCGACGGGTGGAGTTTAACTAGGGTTTGTCATGGAAGTCGACTTAATGCTTCTAGCCAACTGTAACCCGAAGCCTCGTGAGTAAGTGAATGCGGAGAGGTACTAGATTAGTTTATCAAGGGAGTAGTCTCGTGATATCCCTGCTAGGGCTATGATTCAGATGGATGAGAGAGAGCCTAGAGAAGGCGGGCGATGAGCGGAGGGCACGGTACGGTACGGAGAGGCAAGGCAACACGTTGGCACACAGACACGGCGTATGCATTTATCATCTCACAGGGGTCAGAGTGGAGGGAGGAATGGGGGAAATAAGTAGATCTGCACGAGGTTGAGTAATGCCGTGGGCGAGCGAGTATTTGGTGGGAAATAAGAAGATAACTAGCTAATGTGAATATCCCGATGACAAGAGGCCAAAAGAGGAAAAGCAACCGGTGAGGTGATTGACGCCACAAGTTTTGCAATCGAAAGGGAGTGGGAACAATGTCTCGTCTCGTCTCATCTTGCCAATCCTTTGACTTTTGAGAGGCAAAGCAATCAGCCAGAAACAAGAGAGAACGGTAAGGTAAGGCAATGTTAAAAATGAGCTGGGGTGTGTCTAAGTTCTTTTGATGTGGAGGCGGCTCATAGCGGTGGGCTTGTTGCGCATGGGCCCACAGTAGCTTAGCTTTAGGGGTGTGTCTCCTACGGTAGTAGCCCAGCAGCAGCAACATCAGCAACAATAGCCAGGGGTTATTCCAATAAACCGTGTCCGAAATCCCATCATGCAGAAAGAGGATCTGTAGATGAGTCTAGGGGGGCGTGTGCGGTTTTCTTCCAGAACAGAACATGGGTACAGTAGCACATGCAATTATCCAAAAGTCCACCTTATTCTTGAGGCCAACCTCGAACCCGACGTCTTGGACCAAGACTTTTCTATCATGAACACAAATTGAGTCACGAGGATCGTGATCAACACGTATGCATTGTTCGTTCTCAGATAACCTTTTTTGGTTATCACCAACCCCGTCGCTTGGTATCATTGTGTTTCTCCGTAGACACAATTCAATGTAATGTCTGGCTAATACACCACCATTTACAAAACGATGGTGTTAAGGAAGATATGGGAAATGAGAGTCATGTCACATGCTCACTTATTTACTCGTCTACCCTTGTTTTGTCTATCGTGTTCTTCTTGATTCCAGTTATGCTTCTGAGATACGGCGGCGGTATGTAAATAACCGTCTACGAAGTTTCTTCAGCCAATGCCACTACACAGATGGTGCATATCCCACGTTTGTGAGACTGAGAACGCAAGATACGGGCAGAAACGTTGCACATCAGGTCTCCAAATCCTGTTTGGGTGTGTAAGTTGAGGCTCACACAAACTTAATACTTAAGTCTATTAAATTCATGTCGTGTAATACCTCTTGAGTTGTCTGTTGTCATTTGGTCATCGCCAGCCAAAATGAAGGTCCCATCGGGTCTGTCTTACTTTATGCAACTATAAGGAAACAATCTTGGCAGCGCAGGGGTTCCAAGCGACTACTCGATTCGGCCATCAGCCAACCACGATTGGCTCATTAAATTCTTGCCCAGTCCTCCCCTGGCCAAGCCCAGAACCCACAGAGATTGACAGCTGGAACGCTAGTGCAGATTTACCCCGGCCCAGGGCTCTCACCTCTCTACCTTAGACTCTCTTCTTTATCATCCGCCAGCCGCGAAGCCACTTCTGCTCCATCCATCCCATCATGATCGAGAAGCATCATCATCATACATCATACATCGCAACGTCCTCAATAGCTCCGGGTTGACAAGTCATCAATATGTAACGCTCACCAACAGCCTCCTGTAGGCTCCTGCAGCCGCAAGGACAAGCAAGATCTTTACAACATGATATTCGTGGATGCGTAGTGCTACACCCATCCGTGAACCAGAGGCGATGTCTATCAGCAAGCAGAGCAATGACTATGCGTCGATTCATCACATGAACCACGATCTCCATTGCCCACATCTTGGCGTTCAACTTATAACATCGTCGTGATGTTGTTGATGCATCGGTCTCAACGCACGCACATGCCGTCCGTCGTACTGGTCGCCTTCATCTTCCCCACATGCGTCTGTCGAAGCCTTGTCTTAGGTACTGTCGTCCCCCGTTTCATGCAAATCCGACGATGCAGCATGCAAGCCTCAGTGATAAGGATGCGCTTCGTCACACCATCTTTTTCAGGAATCGGCCTCGATTTTAGTGGGTGTAAAGGTTGTTCAAGCACCACCGTCCTCGGGTTTGAACGACGCACTGGCCCTCTTACGCCATAAGCCGGTCCCTGCATCCTTTATCTGCGCTTCCTTTCACCTCATGGTCTCGAAAAATTCAACCTCCAAGAATTGTCTATACGGTGCATGGATATCCTACACGGTACTGTACGGCCCCGCGAACTAACCCTTCTCCCCACTGTGTCAAGTCACTGTATAGGTAATTCTCACCAACCCTCACGCGATCCACAAGACGACAATCCCCTCCCGTTGCATTCATCAGCTTGCCATTCCGCCGCCCGCCACGTCCTGCGTCTGTACGCATCCGAAATGTCCGCCTCGCTCGTTCTGACATGCACACATTTCGTATCCTCCTCCGTCCCTCCCAACGGCGATGGTGCCCGTCTGACCACACGTTCGGCTAGAGACGAGAACAAAGTCAGGAAATCAGAGGACGAAGCATAGCAAGCAAATATTAGACAATCGAGCATTGAAGCGCCGGTTTTCGTGGTCAGTTCATGTGTTGTTGTGAGGCTATGGGAATATACGCCCAACACCGGCAAAGGCATTACTTGGGACACACCAAGTGTATTTCCCTTAGTGCCATAACGCCTTGTCAGCTTGCGATGGTGCAATCCTGGGGCCGTCAACCACTTTCCCAGCAATTCGGCCTTCACGGACTAAGCGCCTGCAACTTTTGATCTTGTCAAAGTCAATTGATTGGAATTGGTATCGAGTTGCCGAATATGGAGACAATCACCTCTTTCTAACTCCCGATGTCGACACTCAAATATCGGACCATCTCCTATCCTTGAAATCCTTCAATTGACCCGCCGGGTCTCCCGGCTCGATCTGTTTCATCTTTTCTACAAAATCCCGGCATTGTTTGCAGCAATCCCTTTGTTGTGGCAATTTCAAACGATCAGGGTCTGAAGTGAAGGATTTGGCCGAAGCTGTTGTTCACTTCACGAGCCGCAATCCGGCAGCACACATCTTGTCAGCCCACCACGAAGAGCCGAGAAACGAAACGTTGTGTTGCACAGCACAAGAACAACTCATTAACTGCCACGCGTGCGAACTGGGAATTTTTGGTCACATTTTGTCCAGATGCATTGACAGTCGAGTCATTGAAACAAACTGCCTGAGAAACTACCCCACCGTCGTATCGAGCGAGTCCTGGTTACCTCCGTCTAGGACGGGAACCAGCAGATATGCTTGTAAGCAGATTCTAGCCCAAGCCGAGACAACTCGGTTCCTTGCCTCGTCTCCTTGATTGCGCCTGGCTCTCGACTGCTATCCGAAGAGGCTCAAAATATGACTGTTCAATTGGCTCCTGGGCAAAGAGGGTGATGTTGACCAAATACCGTGACTGATAGCAATGCACCGTAGCACTTGTCCCATGTATTCGTCCCAAAAGCTTGACCGAAGCCATGCTTATCTTTCTGTCGTTTTGACTAACCGGCCGCCAACCAAGCAAGCCGTTCCTTACCGCTCACAGACAACCCTGGCTCAAGATTACTTCTAAGTTCTCGGCAAAGAACTAACCACCGAACAATCCTCACGCGACCATTATTTGCCAGCCATTCTCAAATTGATGGTCTATGCACATTCCTTTCCCTTCTTGTGCTTAGCCTGCTGGCTTCGCTTCTGGATCCTGATACGAGCCAAATCCTCGCCCTCGTTGATCCATTCATCTATCCCCTAGCAAGTTTATCTGCTGCCTAGTCCCAGCAAGCCAAACTCCCGGAGACGTGCCTATCAAGATTGCCTCTCTTTCTTGTTGGCCTCGACTCAAGGAGAACCTTGTTAGCTTGCTCTGTCCCCCACCAAAAAGTTGTCCCGGCTGGGTCTGTCTCCTCCTGCGCAAGTTTCTGTGAAACTACTGTTAACTGGCCAATCATGGCTTAGCCTCCCCGACAGCCGATGACCGATAACCTCTTCCCTCGAGAAGACGACTCTCTTGTTGTGTGCTGACAACTCTAGGATCACAAGGACATGAAGCGAACAATGGTGCGTTGAATATACAGTTCGTTATTTACTGTTTGCGGTTATTACAATACCTAGAAGATATAAAACATGAACCTTGATGACATTTCATGCATTATGCCAATCAAACTGATATCCTAACAATTCAACCTTTCCGTCACATCAAGCTCGCTGGCTTGCTCATCTCAGCTCAGCTCAGTCAACTCTGAAGCAACAATAAGAAGAATGAATACAAAAAAAGCAATCCCCTTTCCGACTTCACTCCAATGCCCTAAAATCCGTCATGAGTTGCCATATTTTACCGTCATTGTAGTGATGCACCCTGTGCGCTAACGCTCCTCCCATACAAATCAGCCTGAAAAACACCAGTGCTTTGTCTGTTACACAAACACCCTTTCCCATCACGCCAGTTGCAATGCTCGCCCAGTCTTTTCCCCCTTCTTCCTTGAAACGTAGGTATCGTCTGACATATCGCCTCCTATAAAGTGGTTTCGGACCGTCCCTCCAGGGGCCAGCCGGTAGAAGTATAGATTACAGCCCTGCCTCTTACTGAGTTCTATAGAAC